GCATATTGCCAGCAGCCACGAAATCCTTGATTGAGCTTTTTTGTTTCTTGTACAGCGCAATATCGTAAACTTTTCACAAACGCACCTGAATAGGTTCTGAAACTAATAAGCATAATGTTGTGTTAAAGCTTGTTGAAATTTCGAGATAACAGGAACTGGTAGCCGGGATATTCAAGCAGGCCGCCTTGTATATCATATTACTTCCTAAATACATTCAATGAATTCATAGAATTCTTGAGAATTTTTTTCTTGTCGTCAATAAGTGACTATATAGTTTTGTCATCCATCTATGTTAAGTCAAAAAAGTGTTGAATATGATTTAATCAATGCCTCAGAATAAAATATCTTTACAGTAAATTATTTTGCTAGTTAATTCGAATGTTCAAGGTAATGTCCATGGTATTTTATTTATTATTAAATCCAGATAATGATGAAACATTTTTGTTAAAAAAATCTTATTTTCAGGTACACTTCATGACAAAAACCCTAATATGTATCGAGTGCTTTATCATTGAAGACATATCAAAGAACTAATATGTATGATAAACCAAAAACATCAAAATTTTATAAGTGTAAATGATTAATTTCATTTATAATGAAAATGATAAAAAGTGCAAAAAACATCTTGGTTACAAAGAAGTAATGATTGATAAATGGTATGTTTATATCTAATACGATTTACGTAATTTATTTTGATGATTTTTCGAAACTCATCAATAATTCAACTCTAATAGAAAACGGCCATACTTATATGGTTAATGTTTGCGTTCTATCTCTAGTTAAAACGTAGGATAAGTTATACATATTTTTAGACTGATTAAATAATCGCGATACTATTGTTTATATATTTATAGTATCTGATTAGATTTTTCATTAAGACGGCTTACAAGTTCGTCCTTAATACTATATTTCTTACGGTAATATCCTTATACTCACTAATGACTAGATTCGAGATGGATTCATAAGCATTTAGTAAAAATATCATAATTGGCGTAGTTTGACAAGTTAAGAATAAGGAAATTGTGTTCGATTATAACTCTGACTGAACTATAATTGAAGTCCTAAGTTCAATTTCATGCGGAATCACTTCAAAATAAAACAAAAGATCAACCTCATGCAATGTACCATTAAAAACTAGGGAATAATGAATATGTGCTTAGTCCTAGTAAGTGGTTATTCAGAAAATCCTATTCATGGCTCTAACAAGAACCAAACCCATAACTTTCAGGTTTTGCGGTAAACGCTTAACCATTAAAATTACTAGGTACAACACTTAATCTAAATAATTTTAGTAACAATTATTCAATATAATTGGTGATGATACTTTGACTCTCAACTCTTTAAATGAGATTAGTCTCTAACAGGCATTGTCTACAAACTTAACTGATCAGTATAAAACCCCTTCAAATGATTTATAAATATGGCAAGTCTATTTATGAATAAGATAACACTAAACGTTTTAAAATGCATTAAAAAACTACCTGTAGTTTTAAGTATTGATAATATATAGATATTACCTTGAACAATAACAAATAAATAATCTTACAATTTTTTGTTTTTAACAAAAGAAAAATAGATCGAGTGTAAAACAAGATATATTGGAACTAATCATTTTTACCTAAATTGACTTATTAATATTTCATAGAAAAAATAGAATCTAGTCAGTGAATCCATGTATGAGAGAAAACAACAGATGTTAATAACATAGTAACATTATAAATAATAAGGACAACTATGACGACAACATTACTGACCACAAATGTATAAGAAAAGAATCTAGTAAAAGGAATTATGTAATATATAGATTTTATCATTATTAAGAAAAATAAAAACTTATATGATTGATGTGAAAACAAATGGTTTGTATATTTTATGTCTTGCTATAACTAATATAAATGTTTATTCTATTATTTTATCATGAAAAAATATATAAGTATAACTTGAAAAACAAATTAATTACTGAATTGATCGATGCAGTGAGAAATACAGTAAGTGTTGCTGTGTGCATGTATATTTTATTTTGAGTAAGCTCTCGATGAGACTATAGTTTATGAACGAAGAAATGAAACAAAGGATAACAAGTCTTTGGTTTTGGAGGAAAATTCCTTTCAATCGTCCATAAATTATAGTCACATTGAAATTAGTTTGCTTATGAGCACCGTGATCAGTGAATATGAATTATGTAGGGCATGATATGGGTATCGCCGTCAGCATTAAATGGTGGTTGTGTGGCGTGTGCTACTTATGTAGACATAAGTAGTATATGACGTGAGTCATGGACAGAATGTCTGGCAGCAGAGAGACGAGAAGATCGAACAACAAAGAATGAAGAAAGAATGCAATTTGTATGAAGATGCAAGAACAAAGGGATTCTGAGTCATTTGAGACAACTGATGAACAATTTGCAAATTAACGATATAATATATGGTTGTTGGATTTTACTAATTAGTTCTGTAATTTGTTGTTAAATTCATTCGGTTATCCCCACCTGTGTTTTGTTCACTACAGTAGCGCCATTTATAAAATTGCCTGTTTTAAAAAATGTAAACAATTAGGTGTCATCTCAATGATTTAAAAGCTTTGCGTTCTCTGAAAAGTCTGAGATTTTCAGGTCGTATCCTTTGTGAAGTTGTGGATGAGAAATATCGATTTTCAACGATTGTTTACCTGTAGTCAGTCTGTGATGTAATCTACGATAATTAAACGATCTTCACTGACCTTATATACTAATCATAAAATGTAAGTCGAACTTGATTTATGGTAATATGATACATATATTAAGAAAGTTGAAATTTTAAATTCTTTATACATATTCTACTGACTATAGAAGTGTGACCTCTTTTTTTAACATTTTTGTAGACATATAACATATTTTTAATGATTGATCCAAGTTAACACCGTTAGAAAAAGTAAGTTATGCAAGTACACACTATCGGTGTTTCGGGGATCGTAAATGCATCATTATTAACATTATTAAGTTTAAAATAACAGAGAACTAAAAACAGTTCTATTGTATAGAGTAAAACTATAATTAATCATTACCTGGATTCATCATTAACATTTTTATTTACACTACTTACAGTATGCATAGTTTGATTCAGTTAAATGACAAAGAATGTACTTAGTAGTGAATTGCTATAGTTAATAAACTGAAGTGTCTTTCAAAACATTAAACTGATTTACTCGTTTATTTATTGAATATATTTTGTGAAATCTATTTGTATAAAGACAACCAGTAATAATTATAAAATTTATAAATATGCATTAAGATCGTTATCATAAGTTAAAATAGACCATCAAATTGTAACACATTCAAAAAATATACTGTTACACACCGAGATCACAATTTCTAGCATTAATGTATAGAATCATCTACTTCATTTTTGAGGTAGATCTATGTGTTGTTAGGGGAAACAGTTATTCACTGTTCTATCAAATTAAATCAAACCGGGCTAGGGATAAACTTCATGTCATCAAGTTATCTAAGTGAATCGTAGTAAACAATTATAATCCCGTTTTTGTTTATTTAGTCACTCAATTCTAGATATTTTGAAATAATTTCTAATGGAGGTGTGATTTTTGTAGTTTTTTCCTTCATGACTAACTGGCCTACACTCGACACGTCCGTAGCATTTTGATGTGGTAGTTTCATCGCAGACAACTTGCCATTTTTCATGTTACCAGCAAAAATGAAAGAGACCGTAATACACCCGACATCATTTTGGTTGTTAGCCAGGGACAAAGTCAAAATTACGAACGAGAGTGGAGTTTATCCTTACCTTCAAACTGTCATTCTGTCATCATTTAGTTAACCATTATCCAGTTAGGGTTTAGATAAAACATGATTATCAGTTCTTACAAATTTTAGAATTGTGTGAAACTTGAAAGAAATGAGATACTTCTTGATTTTGGAAATATTTTCAAGGATAAGTCAAAAATTAACATATTATGGTTATTCACAATTTGATTTGACAAAAAATTAGGTGATAGCTTAAGAACAAAATCACTGAAAATCAGTAGGCAGATATGTACAGTTAACAACCTGTCAGCCCTTGACAACATAAAAACCAGTCATTAATATAAACCAATCTAATACTTCAACATCTCATACTAGTAAAGCAAAAGAAAGAATTACCACAAATAACTGGATTGTTAAGAGCAGAAGTAATTGATTAAAGAAAAAGAGAGACATGTTTTTTCACTGGTTGGTCTTAGTAGTACATATTAGATTAAAGATAATTAAATAAATTGTATGAATTTATCATTAATCATCAGGAACTATTAGACTAAATGTTGTAACCATAACAAAATTCTTTACGAACAGAATTTATAAACTAACAAATTTCACAGATGCGATCATACACGATCCCGCACGTAGGAATCGCACCTAGAACGTTTGGTGTCGTGCGCGAACGCTTATCCTCTAGACCACTGAGCCGGCATCCAGCTGCGTCAATGTCTAAATTCAATCGATCCATGATCTAGCACAACCCTTCATCGGGGTGTAAACAGTTATCCACCTCAGACAACGGATGAAGAGTTGCGAAAGTTCATGGGTCGATTGAAGTTAGACATTAACACCGTTGGATGCCGGTTCAGTAATCCAGGAGTTAAGTGCTCGCGCGCGATACCAAGGGTCCTGGTTTTTAAGTCTCGCGTACGGTACCACGGATGCCTACTAATGAGGAGTACCACACTGGTACAGAACGGCCGTCCAGTGCTTCCAGGCTTTCAATGGTGGTTTAGCTTAGATCGACTCATGGATTCAACTGTCAAAATTACAACTATCTCCATAAATCCTCATTCTGATGACAAATTTCTCTCGAAAATCATTTGACATAAGAAACAATTATGTTCATTAGTTTATCTAAATGTTTACTACTCTCTCTAATCTAACCTATAATTTTTAATATTTTAGTGAAATAAATAAAGTTGAAAACCACGGAATGTCAGTCGTGAAAATTTGTTAGTTTTCTTTAATGAATTTAACTTGTACTTACAATTTCTTCATTGTTGGTTTTATTGACTGATACCAAAAGATATTTAGATGAATTATGATCGGGATGTGGATTGGAGGAATGAATTTGTCCAATATTAGATGATGATGATGATAGTTTGGTTCCATCTCTGTTCATATAACGTCTTCTCCGATGACAACATGTTGAAAATCGACGTAAACGTGGCAGCATCGATTTCCGTCTAGAATGTAATGGTTTTAAAACAACAATAATAATAATAATAATTAAATCAAGGGTAGATAACAAGCTAAATCAAACAATCCTGCTTGCTAAATTATTTATTTCTCACTCCTTGTGGTATTTTGTACTTAGTATAATTGTAAAATTTGCCTGGAAAACAGTGCATATTATAAGCAACGAAAAATATTAATTTTCTTAAAGTAAAACAGTATGACAATTGTATGGTCATATAGTGGTCAATGACTATGTACATGCGCTACATGCGTAGCAATGAAAGAGATAAATATCATGATTTTTACTAATATAAGTTTTTATCAGATGTTTTTACAAACATGATTAAACGTGGCTTATATGGTAAGTATCATATCGATAGAATTAGTACTTTGACATGTTGGTAAATCTATTGTTTTCATGTCTATTCAGAACTATTTAAAAGAAATACCATTCTGAAAGTTATAATGACGTCTGTTAGGAAAACATTTTGTGACAATTCAAAATCAGTTAATTTTCTGATATTTTAACTTTTAACCTGGTTTTATTTATTTCTTTTAATGGTTTCTGTTGAAATCAGTGTTTTCAGTTTATAATTTCACGAAAATTCCTCTACGGAGGTGAATGTAAACAACGATTAATGTGAGTTGGCCAGACAGTACTGCTATACTTAACCTGAGTATGGTGCTTTTTAGTAGTCATAAACAAAGCAACTCAATCACTTTGTAATATGTTGCCATGATGATTGATAGATGTCATTTAATGCTACAATTATATCCATCATCTTTGAAATAATTATTACTTTAATAAAACAATTTATCATCTCTTTAAAAATATAAGTCATGTTATTACTGACAAGAATTATATGAAAACATTTGGTAGAAATTATTGAAATAATATTCAGCTATCTTCAGCTTGAACACATTGACAAATATTACTTCAGTAAATATTAGTTTGATTCATGATACAAGTTTTAAAATATATTATTGTTGCTAGTATATATTGAGTTCAATCAGTACAATGAATTGAAAATTGGATTTTAAGAAAAAAACTAAATATACCTCCCCCCCACAAAAAAATAGGAAATTAATGATTGTTGCTTGATTGTATAGTTTGTACACATGAGAGAAACATATATATGAAAATCTTAAACCAATTAAGGCAATTTATGAATCAATAATCATAATGAAATAGATTGCACAACTATGCAGTTTAATATTTTTATAAATAAATATTTAAACATATTAGAATAAAGCTTGATGACGTCCTAGTTTAAAAATAACATTGTTAGTTTTTATGTGTTGTTTTAATATTCACAATGTGAATACGATGTAATATGAAAAAATAGTTTCAATAAGTTTCTAACAAAATCAGTCATTAATTTTTTGGAATGTTTCACGTTTAATTAATTGATTTTGTTTGTTACAATAAATAATAATGAATTTGTAAGATATTATTTTCAACTACAAAGGAAATGTTATTTTAAGCAAAGACGGATGTTGGCTAATAGTGGAATCCATGACGCGCATTCCTCCCTATTCGAGATATGATGGATTGACATTTTGCAAATTACCGATTTGATATATGGTTCTCAGATTTTATTGAGATGCTCCGTAATTATGTGCCTAAATACATACGATTGTCCCCATTGGTGTTCTTGTTCACTACAATATACTGATGTAATTCTTTGTAGTTAGATGCCAAGATACACTTAGAAGTATATTTTTGAACTGTTTGTTAATCAAGATTAACATCATTGATAACTTGTACAGTGATCATAGTTAAATATTTTAGCAAAAAAAACATCATAGTAAACAATGGTCATAATTCCTGTTAAATTTATCATAAATCTATTGGATAGTGAATTTGTTATGGAAAGAAACTGTTCAAAAATTTTAATTAAACTATTTATTAAAAACAATTAATAGCTTACACCTGTATATAAATAGAATAATAAATACCGCATGATTATTCCTTTTTCAAATTTTAAGGGGAAAAACAAAGAACTCAAATTGAGGTATATGCTGCTTATATCGACAGTTATAAGTAGTATGTAAGACCGATGAAAAGTGGAATGCGTAGCAGTAGAAGTTTGAGAATCTTGAATTAAAAAGAATAGGGATGTAAACAGGGAATAATTATGATAACAACAGAAATGAAGGAATAATGAGGTTTGTAAGAGATAATTGGTGGAAAATATGCAAATCAAGTATTTAATGTACGGTATTCATATTTCAAGAAGATACTGTGATAGAATTTTAAAATGGAAATTCAATATACAATAAATAATCATTACTTTATATTATAATTTGATAAGAAAATGTCGATTGCTGCCACTAGTAAAGTTGTTGGCTATGACTAAGTAATAATCTTTTCTTTATCAGAAGGGGTTTTGTGGAGATTGTAGTAATTTCAATGGTTAAGATCATGAGTCAGTTGAAGCTAGACCACCATGGAAAACCTGGACGAAACGGCCGTCCAGTGCTACCAGGTTTTCCTTGGTGGTCTAGCTTCAACTGACTCATGATCTTAACCATTGAAATCTGTTGTTTACTACTTATTACAACGGATTCAATAAAGAAAACAAAACTTCAGATGAAGTATTTAATCACTAAACACTGATTAAGATAATATCAAAATTAACAATAAAATTTACTAATAATTTAAATGTCTGACCAATAAATAAATTTTACTGTACCGGGTGAACAATAGTCGGCATAAATCAATTATTACTTTGATATATTGATACAGTTTACTAAATCAATAAATTAACTGCTTCATTTAAGAGAGATATAACTTATCATTAAATAAGATATTGTTTATTTCCTGACACTATATGATTTTGTTCAAATTTATATTGTTAAGAACATTATTAACTAACAGAAAAACTCCTATCAAGGATAATTTTGTTACTTTTTAACCACCTATGAAGAAACCGTGATTTTAAGTGAACAGTCAATGTAGTTCAAACGATTGTATTTATTTTAGTTTTCCTGAGTGATTTAGCATCAACCTTCTATAGGAAACTCTTTCTTATGACAGTACTAAAAATTATTCATAAAATCCTCATCAAAAAATAAAATAGCTTTTAAAAATTATAAGAATAACAATAGTGTTGAATTGTTTAATAACATTTCATTATTCAATACTTATATTGTGCAATATAGTTCACACATGAGATAATTGAAACTTGCTTCATTCCACACAAAGTTAACTTCTGAGTTTTTCTTTTCAACTGTCGTAGAAGTTGAAGGATAATTAAAACTTTCCTGATGTTTGAAAAAATTTATTTACTGACAATCACATAAACACAGATTTATATCTCACTAATAGTCATAACAGAAAGTCTTTTATTTGGTTTTATTTTGAGTCTGATGTGTTTTTATCAGAATGTTACAATTCATTCAGAAATATTTTCTCCTTAGAAAATAGAAAGGCTTGATGAGAACAATAAGGATTATAGTTTCGTTAAGAACTGCTGATCAGTCAGTCCCAAAATAGAACCTGTATGAATATAGATCAGTTCAAGTTGCCTTGGCTCACTAACAAACCGAGATGTCAGGTTAAATCTCAAAATAGAAGAGGTATCAATAGTGTCAGTGGTAAGAGAAAAGGTTATCCATCGAAGATACTTTTCGAAAACAAAATATAAATTAGCAAAATGAAAACAAAAAAGTTATCAAGACTTAAGAACCCCAAAATTTTGAAGAAAACATGGAGTGGCTGCACATGCGCGACTGCAAACGATTTTAAGCCATGTAATACAAGGTCTCCAACCATTGGTAATGATAATCACGCGGATCTCGACCAGATAGTCTGTAGTTATCAATACGACTAAGTCCAATTGTCAGTAACTTCATGGATTGATGCCATGTTTTCGTTTGGCAGTCTCTGGCTTTCTTACAGCCTACTCCTGCAGCGCACAAAATCACATGTCAAGATAAGCGATGATCAGGTACACGTAATACATGTCCCAACTACCTCACTTGATGAAAATTTATTGCCACACCAATCAATTTTGCATCTTCATCCAGTACTCTATTCCTAACCCAGGGATTGCTTACTCTGTGATCCCGAAATATACAAGTAATTCTTCGTAGACACTTATGATCGAATAAAACTAACGTACGGCCATGACAAATGTTGTTATTAGGAATAATATTGGAGATTTTAAAAACAGTTTCCATTATATTTGAATTCAGTGAAGTATATTCAAGTGGAATTCATTGAAGTTCAAATCAATACTATATATATATATATATATATATATATATATAAGACTGTAGGAGACTTTCATTTCATTTTGCGATGGAACATGTGTATCTGACAACAGCTATAAATTAATTGATAACCACTTTATAATGACCAACGCTAATAGTTTTGTATTTTAATAACAGTATATAGAATTTTAATCAATATGTTTATTCGTTTTAATATTTTAGATATTTGATAGAAGTAGATTCCTAAGATTAATTTTACTAACAGTTGATATGAACTAAAAAATCACAGAAAATAATTGATCATCAAACAGACGTTCTATCCTAATGTGAACTCGTCAAAACCTTTGCTTTTTCAAGGTCGCTACAGTAATTATCATAACATTTAAGACGACTGAGTACGAATTGAATACCTTATCTTGAGAACATTCTCATCTATTGACTTGATGTACAAGTTATTTATCGAATACCGACTTGATGGATTTGATTACTATGATGAAATTTACTATTGATATGCGCAAACGTTTTTACAAAACCACCTTTATAAATTCATTTAAAATAGAATGATGTGAAGACGGAAACTTTTTTGTAGTTTCACATTAAGAATTAGACTAAGTCAAACAACCACGCAAAACCAGGATGCATTGGAAAGTATTATTGAATTCCTCAATGGTGCATACTCAATAGCTTACAATGGACTGAAAAGAGAAAGTTACAAGTTGACGATGATTTTCTAGAATAAATCGATGGTATCAAAGTGTGAAATATCAAATTATTAGGTTCAATAGCAGAGATCCTTTTGTTTGTATATTAAATTAACTCTCTCTCTCTTTGTACTGAAATTGTTCATAATGATCGCCTGGGATATTTTATGCTAATTAATACAAAAGTACATTTGCTCATAAGCTGTTTGTCAAATTATTCAAAAAATGATATTCAACTGAATGTATGAAAATTCTACGAAATAGTAAATGTTATTCAGAGATTTTATACGTAAAAAAGGTTTTTTTGTGATATCTATCTGATTCATCAAATATAGTATATGTTATATTCTGGATAGCAAAACAACTGCTTGAAAAGATGAAAAAAGTATAAAGCTTTATAGATTAAGTACCATTATACATTATTTTGATTGTGTTTCACAAATTGGTAACTTATATTATTAATCAGTGCTAGCAACAAGTAATGAAATATCAAAAAGAAACTATAGATACTTTCATACTAGTGAGTAGTTTCCAGTTGAAATAAAACATGTATATATCATAATTATAACTTTATAAATTTTCTATTTACTAAAAAAATCAATTTGTGATGGAAATTATTTTTAGAAATATTTAAAATAAATAAAAGATAAATGAAAAAAAAACAAAAACAACAAAGCAAAACTTTGAATTTGTTCATTTAGAAATACATTAAATATGCACATAATAAATATTGACTTTTAAAACAAACATTTATCAGTCAAGAGTCAATATTTACGTTCTATAAAGATATATGTAGATATATACTTGTATATTATATTTGAATATCATTGTGTACATTCAAATAAATTAGTTTCTTATGAATTAAATTAAAAGGAGAAATAATATATGTACTCATAATAAATGAATAAACATTTGCTTTTTGATATTACTTTGTTTATTTCATTGAAACTTCATTATTTATTAAAATGAAAACAAACGTTTTTTTTTGTTTGTTTTTAGAAAAGGAGTGAATTAATAATAAAAAACAATTAATCTGTTATTCTATTATTATCACTATTACTATTATTACTAATAGTAAGTAATGTAGATAATGTTTAATCTGAATAGAACATTTGATTTTAACTAATATCAAATGGTACTACTGAATATTAGTTTAAGTGGTCAATAATATATCTTATGATTTATATGAATGTTTATATGTTATGTTAAAATTTTACAAAATTCTATGAATAATCATTTAATATATTAACAAAATGAATTCGAATTTTCAATATTTATTAGAGCTAAGACATAAGATTTAGTCTTATGTGCGAATCAAACTTTATCAATGAATCTGTAGTGTAAGCTTAATAGTTTGATACTTTATTAGATGGTTGTACGGAGCAAGTAACGAGTAACTCTATGACTTTAGTTTTTTAATGTCTTATCGCATGTTAATTATAATTCACTCAGTTATGCAATAATTCTTTAACAATATTACTGAACGATTCAGTTAAAATTTTTATAATGAGAGTCAGTTTTCTTAAAACATCAAATAAGCCATACTAATAGAACTACACAAACGCAAACTAGTATAAGCGTTTCGAGTTAAATATGTCCAAATATTTAACACTTCAGTGAGACTATAATTTATAGACGACGTTTGAGTGACGCTAAATTGACCTTGAGAGTGTTCACTTAATAACTAGGAACAAACGAGGATTATGAACCAGCGTGAGAAATTTGAATTAGGATTTACAATTGATGATTAGGTTTAAGAACAAGATTTCGAGTTTTCATCACGAACTGACATCAGCTATAATTCTAAAGCTTTATTTAGCCAAATGGATGAGTGAATTTCACGCCGAAATTTGAGACTTATTTACTAATATCTGATTGGTTCGTCCATAAATTATAGTCTCGCCAACACATCTTTACTTTTTATATTCACTAGGTTATAGAGAATATTTTACTCTCTAAATAGGATTACATACTTTTCTGGAAATTTCACAACAAAAGCATATCCTCACCAGTGACTCGCTTCAAAAAGTATCTCCTGGAGTTCTAGTGAGAAGTAGTGACAGGTTGAGTGCAACTGGATCTGTTATGAGACAAAGCTTACTAAAGACAATGGCAGATATGTCACCCAATTTCATGGATTAGTTAAAGTTAGACATTAATATCACTAGATGCCGGCTCAATGGTCTAGAGTTTAAGCGTTCACGCACGAAACTGATAGATCCTGGGTTCGAATCTCATGAGACGGGATCGTAGGTACACACTGTCAAAGAGTCCCATACTAAAACGAAACAGCCACCCAGTGCCTTCAGGTTTTCCATAATGGTTTATCTTCAATTGACTTATGATCTCAACTATTGAAACAAAATATTTCACTAGTTTTATCCTGCTTTTGTTTTCAAAAATTAGAACATTTATTTTATAAAGATAAAGCATGATAAAACAACGTTTGTTTTTTCCCCATAAATTCAACTCGATTGTTAAATTTTATTAATATTAAACAATAGAATGAACATAGTAATGTTCTAACTTATTTATAGAATGTTTGTTTGATGTAATATGTCAGTTTCTATTGTTACACCTTTCTATCCATTATAATAAAAAAAAAGAAATAATTAATTTTGATTTAAAGGAAACATTATAGAACATGTCGGTCAATCAAATATTGCTTAAATAGTAACATTAAATAATCAATACATAAGAAAAAATAATAATGATTATATAATTAGGTTAAATCTTATTATTTCAATAATCACGAAAGATAAATAGAGAAAAGATTGTTTTTTCCACGGTGATTATATTATTTAAAATAAATTTTATTATAACTGATAAATGGACTTATTATATGCCTTTATAATTACTATCTTAGTAGGTAACTAACATCATATAATATAATCTTAGTTGTAATGTAAATCGATTGTTTTATTAAAATGATTACATAACTTGTAAATAACTGGTAATTTTCGTAATTCATTTAACTAATAATAATAATAATCATAAGTCAGATTTGGTTGGGATTATTATTATTATTATTATTTGAACACATAGATATTTGTACATAGGGGCACCAGATACATATGCGCCACACAAATCCCATTTGGTTTATGCGAGGGCTGTGATACTGCCCGAGTGCCTAAACCAAAACAGATGGTTTGCTTAGGGGGCCACATCTGGAGCCTTCGACCTAAAGGTCTGATCCACAAGGCACTGGAGCATCGTGAGGAGATGCAGTCTCATGGTAGCCTTTGACCAATGATTGGTTCAAACGCCATTTGTTCTCTCAGGATACTGGAGCCCATGTACACCGTTGGTTAGGAATCAGGGTTTTCCAGCTCCCCCAGGTGGACTCTCCATGTCCACCAACCCGATTAAAGCTTCCGGCATTCGCTTATCATACTCTCAATTTTGTAAACAACACCCCCGCCAAGAGAAGGCAGTGAGCAGGACTTCCCAGGCAGAGGCTATATACGCGTGGCCATTTGAGAGCATTTCGAGAGGGAGAGCGGATTCTCCTCACTCTCATCCGTACCAGGGCATTTAGGGGCAGTTGGGATGTACATGTCCTTTTACGTTAAATCAGCATTCAATAAAATATAACTGAGTTCATATATAAATTTACTGTGAATAATGTGGCTACAATAAGAAACACTCATTCAAATATACATTTATTACGATGATTGGAGAAATTTTTGTGCATTACTATTACTTACAATATTATCAGCAAGAAAGATTTATGCTAGTTTAGTCTTCATTATGGTACTCTTAGTTATAGTTGTTTCATAAGAACAGATTCGAATGCAAAACTGACTAATGAAATAACATGGCCTGCAGTAGATAAATTTTACTTCAGATGGTGAAGATTTATAGCTCAGGTGGGTGATTTTGACGGAGTTTCGTTCTCTGAGCTGGATGGTTTGGTCGTGGACGACATCATCAGCACAAACTTCAGATAGAAGTGAAGTGTTCAAACTTCTCCATATGCGTTTCACAGCTTGTTCTGTATACCCCGATGTTGATTGGTTCTTATTGACCTTAAATTTGTCATTATTTACTTTTCTGTTTCGGTTGTATCTCAGCTCGTGTACCTTAGTTCCAAATTCATGCAATGAGGAACCACGTGATCAGGGTTTAAATTTCACAGGAAGCATCAGTTATATCAAGATTACAGTTACACCTTGACGATCAGACCCAAATGGCACGAAATCTAGGTCAACGGTCTCTCGTCGACTGTGCACGACAATCTAACATTGTCTAGTCAGTTAAACACTGTTTTATATATTATGCATCGTAATAACTATAACATTTGCGTTATGATTAATCAACCGTAAACAAATACATAAATTCTGAATGCTTTCTGTTTTGAATTACTTTAAAATTTTATTTCGCTGTCTACAAATTTGCGTCAGTCTGTAATTTACTTGTGAATTCTATGAACTGTTACAGAATAATTTAAAAACCAAACGAATAAACCTAATTGTTATCTTTATTATTAAATTAAGCTATTTTACAAATCAATAAAAGTCAACCTAAAATTTTCGAACTATAAGCAACACTGTTTAATTTGTTCAGGCCTATAATGCTTATGTATCTGACAAATCACTGATTTACTAAATATGGCAAAAGAGAAGATTTAATTGTTGTATCTTCTGTTCTAAACGTAATATTGTAAATGATAGTAAAATCGCTAGAAAACTTACCGCACTGGTACAATGTTTATTGGTTGACTTTGTAATTCACCTGAACTACTTGTACTGTTAAAAGATTTAGGCCTTTGTATATTTTTTCCACTGGTGTTCAATTTGATATTTGTTACTCGATTGTTATTTCCACTTGATGTCAGTTTATTAAATTCAGCAACTTCTAGACCCTACGATAAAGTAAAATAAAATCAATTCACAGATCTATGGATTTAAGTAGTTCGGTTTGTTCAGAAACTAATTTGTTCATTAATCCATTTTAGACAGACAGGGAAATACACCATATATTTGGAAACTGAAGTTAACCGTTGCATTTTCAATATTTAATAAATTTATTAACACCATCGATTTCGACGGTCTTACCGTTTATTTTTTAAGTGGATAATCTATATGTAGGTGTATATTTTTCTAAAGACTTTGTTTTACGCTTCAAATTTCCATTTATTCATGATTTTTATTAGTAATGTTTATCTGAGCTATGCAGATAGTTTTGAATAGTTTCAGACGTTTATAATGAAGTCTTCAGTAAGGAAATCTTAGTTTAATATTCATCAGTCACTATTTATTCGGAAATTGTTTGGTGTAACATGATTGTTGAAAGTTACGAAAGCTGAGGATAACCCAAGCTTGCTTAGTTAAATTTTTGTTTAAATCAATCATTTAGACAGATACTATAAATAAACTAAGTTTTAATACGTTTCACATTTTATTCCTTTGTTTTTATTGCGAATGAGTTACCATAGTTTGATTTTAAAGTTAATTGTTTAAATTCATCAAAGTTTTGAGGTAATCAACACATTTTCTGTTTTATGATATACAACCACTACAAATGGTCCCTTAGTTTAGAACCTCAGATAATAAGCTGTGAATAGATGAAAACTGCACAAAATAATTCACATATTCATAATCTATTGTTTTGCTTCTGCGAGTTAGTATTAGTTTTTTCCCCTCCTAGGTTCAATGGTTATATTTATTGATCCTATAAAAATATATGGAAACATTAACATTAACACTCATTATTGTACTGATATGAGGTATTTTATTTTATTCTATTTCACTGTTCGGAAATTATTACATAAATTTAACGCAGTTTTCGTTTTAAAAAATATACCAGTGACTAGCTTAGGGCTATGAATTATACTTGTTAGATCAAAACAGCGGGTTATATTTCATCAAGATCATTTGTGAAATATGAACCATATGTGCATATTATAGTTGGTTTCAAGTCATTTTAACCAAATGGCTAAACTCAATATTGCTTTCTCAAGACGAGAAGAGATGAAAATTAATAGGGTTTTTTGGTAAATATTTGAGACTATGCATTAAAAAAGACAACAATGTCATGCTATTAATGGTTCGTTAAGTTAAATGAAGTATATAAATCGTTTTGGTTGTGTGCATTTCAGTTAGAAATGTATGGTGAATTAGTTAATAGCTATCTGAACTTAGTAGCTCAGTGGATAACGCTTTGGGTATTTGAAACAAAAAGTACTTAGTTGAAGTCTGAATATGGAAACCAACAAAGTTGGAGTGTAGGTACATGCAACTAAGTCATAGATAAGTCAAAATGTGCTTCCTGAATTTCGCTATCAGCCATAAATTAATAACACGAAAATATTTATATGTTTGGACGATAAAAACTTATAAATATACGTATGAACCTGAAAAATAAAAGTAAAAACCTACAGTTGTTTGTTGCAAACAGTCAATTAGATGATAGTACTGTTGTTCAAATAAATCATGAACCTCTTCATTATCCTCTTCAGCTGAAACATTCCGTTCTCCTCCGGTTTGGTCCAGTTTCCTTATATATTCTTCTTCTTGCCTGTGGAACATTTCTACATCTTTTTCTTGTTTTACTTCATCAGTTTTGTACTTTCTCAATTCAACAAGTTGAATATTATTCATTTCATCACTTTGTACAATATTGTTTACTTCTTGTGTATTTTCTTTATTTATTATCATATTTACATTTGATTTATGATGTTCCAATAATTTCCTATTTTTATATCGTTTTCTACCTTCAGAGAATGCATTCTCTGCAACAGCTTTCATTTCTGTTAAACGAGATAATCTCGCCTTCTAGAATTGCATTTTTTTAATTATTATTCAAAAAAGGAAACATTATAATATTAAAAATACAATAATGCTAAATCACAGAATTAAATAAAATGTAAGAATTTTTAATGAAATATTTCTGATTAAAGAAGATTTTTATTAATGTTGCCTGTAACGACATAGTGAGAAAAGTATATATATATATATATATATATATATATATATATATATATATATATATATATATAATGATACATCTATCCATACATATTCACACAAGGCAAATGAAAATAAAATTGACAATATACATGACACGAAATAATTTCTAGTTATTAGTTGCAGTAAACAGTAAATCATTAGTCACATTTGTTACATTGACAAGATTAGCCAAAGTTGTCAGAATTGACAGTTGACTAATAAAATCTATTTGTTTTTCCTTCATACACCTATGCTATCATTGAAATATACTTCAACCTAAATCTAGAAAATGTGACATTTGACCTTTTCAATCCATCAGATAAGATTGTTTTTTTTGTTACACAGAAATACTATTTTTGTTTTTCAGAATGCATGTTCAAATGTATAACAATATTGATTGATTCATATAGTGTTTTCATCAGCGTAATATTGATAACTTATTACCACTACCTTCATAGTACATGAATGTTTTAGTAATAGTTATCGGCAGACTGAAACTGTTGCCTGGTAATGAATGACTTTCTATATTATGACATAATGTTATTATATAATGTTGGTTTATTGACTTGGTCAAATAAAATCGATAATAACCAGCTGTGTTACAATGTGTGACCAGTTCAACACCTAATTGCAGATAAGGTGTGTTGAGTAAAACAACTAGTTAGTGTTATTAATTATGAAGTATAGGTTACTGTTGAAGTTACTTTAAAAGTCATTCAATCATATCTGAGTATGAGAAATTTATTTGACAATCACAGTATTTTAATCGTTGAATTCATAAGTCGTTCTAAACTAGATTATCATTAAGAACCTAGAAGCGCTAGACGGCCGTTTCGTCCCAATATGCGACTACCTCGCAGTGTGCATCTACGATCCTGCATGTGGGACTTGAACTCATAACCTTCGGTACCACGCGCAGAATTTTAACTTCTGGGCCGGCATCCAACGGTGTTAATGTGTAACTCCAATCGATCCATGATATTTCGCGGTGCTTCAGCCATTGTCTGAGCTAGATACCTGTCTCTACCTGATACGGATTGGAATCCACTGGTTGCGGCTTCTCACTGGAACTCTAGAAAATCCTCCTTGAAGCCAGTCACTAGTGAGCACGTGATTATAATTATCAGAATGAGGGTATGTAGAGATTGTAGTAATTTCATTAGTTGTATTCATGGGTAAATTTAGGCTAGACCACCAAATATTAAAATTACCACAATCTCCACAAACATTCATTCTGATAATTACATTAGTTGACCTAGTTTAACTGTTCTTTATAAAGATATAAATTATATGTAATATAAGTATTATTTCAAAATTACTAATAATTTACCCTTTGAAGTAAAATTAATCAACTCTGAAGTTTAAAACAAGATGTAAACACATCGATTTTGACAAAAAGGTGAACAGTTAGACTTTGCTTAGGTCAAGTTTTCTGTGCAATCTCATTAATTTTCAGAGAAGAAATCAATGATTGACAGACATTTAGTAGGATATCTATTATTTATATATCCCACATAAATCAATAAATATGTTTGAAATATCGATTAGTCAACAAAATCAATCAAATTATATATATATATATATATATATATATATCATATTCATGATTAAAAAATTTCAAAAATGATTTGAACGATAAATAAAAAAGGGGATAAAATAGTATATATCCAGTAAAAATCATAGTGATTTTATAATCAAATGCCATCATCAAAAAAGTACACGTATTAATAAACAGTTGTTTACGCAAGATACTCGACGGCTTCTGACCCTATACTATCAGCAATAGCGTACTGTGGGAGAGAACATACTAACTTCCAGCTGAAGAGGAAATTAGAAAAATACGTTGGAAGTTGATCGGACATACATCATCATCTGCATTACAAGACAAACCCTAACTTGGAATCCTGAAGGGAAACGAAAAAATGAATGACGAAAGAACAGGCTGCGTCGGGAATTGAAAGCAGACATGAAAAGGACGAATAGTAACTGAAAACAACTGGGAAAGATTGTCTAGGACAGAGTTCGGTGGAGAATTCTGCTGAACGGCCTATGCTCTTCCACGAGGAGCAACAGGTATAAGTAGGTAATTAAATAATGTCATCAAATGAAATTTGATTAATTGAATCCTTCTCTGAGATAAATCATTAAATCCTAACCCCAATCTATGTTGTTACAATTGTTTATTTATTTATTTATGCATCAAAAGATAACCTAATTGAATTTTTATGAAATGAGCTAAATTAAATAATCACAGTAAATTATATCACACCAACATAGGAAACCTATACAAATAATCTCCATGACTGTAATGGGTATAAGTGTTACTTCATTAAAGTGTATGCTTATAATCCAGTGGTGATTACTGTTTATACTGAAGTGGATGCAACTCTCATTGAGTTTTTTCACATAACTGTACAAAACGTGTTGAGTTTTTTCTTATATTTTTAAGTACAACCTTTTATTTCACTACTTAAGTATGCTTCAGTAGGAAAGAATGTAAATTACAACTTCATATGAGTGATAAATATTCATTAAATGAATTTTACTTCGGTCTGGATGTAAATGGATGACTGTTATTATCTTTTAGTGGATGTGTAACACAATAGACAATACCAAGTTTATTAATGTAGTAAACATGGCGTACATAATTTTAGATTTGCAGTGCTTTGAACAGAAGCTTATATATATATATATATATATATATATATATATATATATATCAGTGGCCAAATTATTATGGGGAGGCAACAAACAGTTTATCAAGCCTTCATTATGTAACAGTTTGATTCCTTGGATCCAAGATGTGACACTGAAATTAATATAACTACAAAAACATGAACGTGATTTTAATCTACAAAATAATTCAGCAATAACAATAATTGTGATTTCAGTTTTTGCCGAGCAAATATAATGTAAGGGGTAAATTGAATTCAAGTAGATGACTGAGCAAAAACAAATAGTATGAACTAGCCATGTGCGACAGAGAAAATAGGTTTGGCTTTTGTACAAATTTTTAATTATATAAAATGAGCAATAGAAATACTTTCTTAAAGTGCTCAAAATGTATGAAATGATAAATAAAAATTATTTTCTTACACTACAGAGTATAAGTGACAGTGTTAAATGTACCAGATGTTCAATTCTACCTGCTTAGATTATACACAATACACAAATCCACTGTATCACGTAATACTAGCCATTTGTCCTTTAATATTTCCTAAACTCTAAAACCTTAATGGTAATCCTGAGCATAAACCCCAGAAAAAGTTGCTAACTCTTAATTCATAAACAATTAAACTGGCCATTTTTCGGGTTATTAATTTGGATATATAATTGTAGAACCTGAAAAGAATTTATCAAAAAGAATATTCTTCGTTCAAATACTAGTCTTTTAATTAACAGTCTCCTGATAAACTTTTTGTATCATTGTAAGGCCTCTCAAAAACGAATAACCTAAATCCATATGCAATAATTTTCATGTCATTATTTTTTTCAATTTACGTAGAAAAATAATTTGCAGAATTTAAGGAAAAAAAGATTAGCATTGTAAAATTTCTTTGTCTTTTGTAATGTTATCAAATATTAAATTTGCTTTCTGATCGGTTAACAATCTACACAAAAATATTGCAGTCGTTTGAAGCTGGTTATCAAACAATACTCTCTTATCGATGATAGTGCTATCTGTATTAAATTATTTGATTTCAATATAGGGTTGATGTTGAGATTAATAAATTATTAATCGAGATCATTAACCGATTGATATTAGACCACCATTAAAAACGTGAAAGCACTAGATGGCCGTTTCATCCTATTGTGGGACTGCTCAGCAGTGAATTTGTATGAATTTTCTAAACATACAATCTAATTCAGTAGTTATCAAAGTTTTTTTAAATTAATTTATATAGAAGTTCATTTTAATTATTAAAATGATAAAATAATTAAGTATATTTAATTGTCATTATATTAACATAACAAGATAATGGATATTGAAAACTATCAATCAATTAATCTAACATTATATATATTAATTAATATAGATGATAATGAAACTTTTAAAAGATCTAAATGGACAAATTAAAGACGATGAATATTTAGTAATAAGCTGCTTTAATCAATAATAAAATTCTATACTGAATAATTCTCAACTCAGATTATAAGAAACGTATATCATATCAAAGATAGGCAGACGAGAATATCATTGATAACATTTTTTGAAATATAGTCTGTATCTTGAAAAATCATCATAGTAAAGACAAGAAACATAATCTTTCTATGTTTATCTTCTTATAGATTTATTTATGTAACTTATTAATCCTAATAATGTAAACTGTTTAACTGACTTTAGTTGAACAATCACTGAAAAACTAGAAATCACCAAATTATTCTTTTCAAAATTGAACATTCTAATAGTTAAACACATGTCATAGTCTTCAATACAATTTATTTGAGCATATACACAAACGCATGAGTATTGTGCTTCCAAATCAATGGAAAGACTAGATTATACAGAATATATATATGTATATATATATATATCATCTCTTACAAAATGGACATTTAAAAAGTAATAATTTTTTTATGCAAAAAACAAAAAAACAAAGTTTTATATCATGAAGATATGAACAATATGATGTCTCCACTTTTAATATGATGTATAAATCACCTGTTAATCAAATAATCGGTGTCAGTTATTTATATCTAAAATTCTTTATAGTGTTTTAAAATAAAATAAACCAAACAAAAAAAAACACAATTGTATTTTCTCTTTTTCTAAATTACTTTCTTCTGTACTGTATTTACTCGATAAAGAATAATTATCATAAGAAAAGAGAACAGATGTTGTAAGATTATACATTTATATAAATATTTCTATATACATATGCATTCGACAAATTTTTATTCATAGTTAATTAACTAAATATAATTTTATTTTTAGAAGAATATTCCATCAAGAAACTTATAAAATACTTTATTTAATACTGTTACTTTTTTAACAGTATCCATCATTATTATTTAACAGTTTTGAGGATGTAAATTACTTAACAAGAAATGAAGATTATGAATTAGAGAAAAAAAAATCACATTTGAAATATCCCATAGTTGATATTCAGTAATGAATTCTGATCAGTTTTCGTTGAGGTTTGTACATTGTATGTAAATGGCTTTCAAACAGTCAATAGATGATTGATAATCAAATTTAATTACCAACAACGATACAATTTCATTATTTATTATTCATAATGTAGACATCACACCAGCTGAATACCATTGTACCTATCCAAACTCACTAGCTTGGTAGACAACGTACTGGTATCTGAACTAAAAGGTACTGGATATGTAGTTAAAGATAACTTGGTATGGATACCTGATTTATTGTTTGATGGTTTTTCTAAAAATATGAAAGCCGTCCATTAAAAGCATCATTTGCACACCTTTAATCAGTTGTCTCTTACACATTTCATAGCTCTTTGATTCCTGTTGTTATTTTAAATGCTTTTACTTTCCTTCTTTCTTCTTTTAATTTCAATCTCCTCGACATTCTGCTGGCATGCAACGAGTTTTCGATTGGCTCTGCATACTACTTGTATCTGTCAACATAAGTACTATAAACCTTAGATATAATCTTAATGTAAACATCAACAAAACTGGAGTTCTTCTATATAAAGCTGACAAGTCCTACATAGAGTGGAATATGCACTTTGGTAACACCATCAGTCACAAAACATCTAAAGTAATACACAGTACCTCAAGTTAGTGAGATGTAAATCGTAATAAAAAAAGACTAGAAATATGTACTAGATTATTTGCAGTCAAATTATAATAATATAGCTATAATTAAAATGACGAGACGTTTTTGTGATTGTAATATTCAGCTATGTATATCTTACTGCTGTTAAATGAATACTACAAAATAAATTTACAAACGTATTCTGTAGACGATCCATTTTCTTCTGGCAATTTTTACTCATTTAAAGTTAAATCTGTGAGTCAGTTTTTAAATCTTAATGAAATCAAATATCTCATCAGATTTACTTTTCGAATTCATAAAGGATATCATCTGCTTAGATTATGTAATATGTGTAAAACAGATTTGAGGTTATTAATTTAACAAGCTATTTATTTATGTAAAATTTGCTTGCCTTAAAAATCATTCTTTTATTAACTTACTTTTTGAGCTTCTCGTTTATCAGTTCGTTGATTTTGTTGATATATTCTGGCAAAATGTGAAACAATCACAGGAACTGGTAAGGCTATAACAAGTACACCAGAAAGTGAACAAATACCGCCAACTATTTTTCCAATAATTGTAGTTGGTACAATATCTCCATATCTGTAAGAATGGAATAAATATTACTAAGCTTAAACAAGTTTAAATATCATTTTCATATCAGATAAATATTTTATTAATTTGAAAGATCTTTATTTCTAATTTCAGTAAAGTTTGCCAATATGTAACTTTTTAATATTAGAATCTATTCTAAAATAACTTTTTAAATAAATAGTATACAACACGATAAGAAATAAATCATCATTATTGAAAGAAGAATAGAATGAAGCTGATTCTATCATTCTAACTGATTACAGAATAAGAGTCAATCAGTAAACAGATAGATAGCTAAGCAACAGATTTAACACTGTACTTTATACATGGTAGATCAATGATACTTAAGGGTTATGTCAAACAAAGCAAACATATTGACACTTGGAATAATAACTCGATAATTACATAACGAATGCTTTATTTATCAAAGTAGTACACAGTAAATCAGTTTCATCATCTCCGGTTATTAATTAACACTTTGATTAATATATGAGTAAAACCTTTATTATGTAAATAATATAATGTAATTAATTACTGATGAGATTCCGTTGAGTTGATTCTCAGAATGATCAAAATTCATGACTAAACGTTAAGTAACATAGTCGATAAGCCAGTTGAAACATATTATTTCAATATATATATATATATATATATATATATATATATATATATTTATAATTTAAAGAGACTTGTTTAAATAAGTAAACAAATTTTCTAATTTGTTGGTACAACTAACGATGACGAGATTCTTTCATTATTATTATTATAATCAATTTTAATTACAATTTCCAACATTGTTTTAGGAAATAAATCAGTATTCATAGTAAAACATATTATTTTATTAATAATATGATTTGATTTATTGTACTATAATATCAACTACGATTTCTATGACGTTCTATTGGAAAATACTAATTAATAAACTTGTCATTTCTTTGTTTTAATATATTTTGTTTTGTTTTTTTAAATTTTATTTCAGAATTTAGATACAGATTATAGTAAAATATTTTATATTACTTTAAAGTTGGAAAGTAAAACAACCAATCGGTTCAAATATTATTAACTTGTAATTAGAATTATTGTTTATATGAGATGTGTTGAGTGAATGAAATCCAGGTAAACATTTTTTTTGTTAAATGTTTCTATAGATAATTAAACAGATTGAAAGAACTTGAAAGTGTTAACAAAATCTATTAAAAAAAGTCTACGAGTGATTTGATGATGTGTTCGTCTTCTTGCTCTTCTTCTTGTTCTTCTTCAAAAATATTACTTCTAAGATATATTTTATTATAGAAAATTCACATATCAAACATAGAATTGTAAAATTATTAAAAGATTATTCATTCATTCTATATTATCAGTTTAGAAGTTGTGGAGATTGTCAAGTTTTTGATTGAGATCATGAACCGATTGATGTTAGACCACCATTAAAAACCTGAAAGCACCAGACGGCCGTTTTGCTCTATTGTGGGACTCCTCAGCAGTGCGCATCCACGATCCGGCACACGGGATTCGAACTCAGGAACTTCAGTCTCGCGCCCGAACGCTTAACCTGCTGGATCACTGCGCAACTTCGTGGATTGGTTGAGGTTAGACATTAACACTGTTGGATGCCGGCTTAGTGGTCCAGTAGGTTAGGCTTTCATGCGCGAGAATGAAGGCCCAGGGTTCGAATCCCGGGAGCCGGACCGTGGATGCGCACTGCTGAGGGGTCCCACAATAGGACGAAACGACCGTCCAGTGCTTTCAGGTGTTCAATAGTGATCTAACATCAATCAGCTCATGATCTCATTTTATATTAGTTAAGCATTTATGCATTTTAACGTTGATGAATATTTCGTTCTGTAAATTAAACAATTTATTCATGCAAAAATGTTTAGACACAAGTGAATTAATCGAAGTTAACTTTGATTATATTATTTAGAAAGACAATAAAATCTTTACACTTGATTTATTTATTTTACAAAATGAAACTTTGATATAACCAATTACCTACAAATCTTGACCATCTTAATATGTAAATGATTGCGTTCAACATTTACTTCGAATAATATAAATATTTCAAATAAAATGACAAATTATAAATTGTACAGTAACAATCATCATTCATATATATTTTAAGTTCTTATTTATTTTAGATATAAAGAATGACATAATTATACAAATATCTTACTTTCAGGAAATGAATTATTTTGATAAGACTATATTTTATGGAAGATCTTTGAGCATATTTAACATGAAGTTGAAAAATGTCCACCTACTTACTAGGGTGAAATGAGAATTACTAGTTATTATAAGAGAAATTAAAACCAGAATTTCAAGTCGAACGTTAGGATTAGGAACGAAATTTTTATGTTTTCATCACAAATTGACATCAGTTATAATGCAAAAAATGTATTTAACCAAATGAGTAAACGAATTTTCTCTCTAAAATCCAAGAAGTACTATCTTAAATCTAATTGGTTCGTCCATTAATTATAGTCTTGCCCTCAGAAAATCCAACTGTATACGTACTTTCTCAATGATTAGTTTACTAACGTTCATAGAATGTTCATCGGTGCTAAAATCAACGTAAATGCGATATTAAATCTTTTCCAAATAACTCTAGCTCATTTCATTTTACAAGTTTTTGTAAAACCAGAAATAATTTTTTAATCCGGATCACACTATCTAAACACTATTATTAATGATACCAGTTATAGAGTTTAAATAAAACTTGCGAACGATGACCTAATGATCATAGTCCTTACGTTCTCCGGTTATCTGTACAGATGTTATTTTCTAAATATATTTTTTATATCAGTTGAATCATAACTAAAGAAGAACCTTGAGAGACCTTCAAAACATACTTGATAATGCTCTAGATTTCATTAATTACTTCCAACACGTATCTAGCGTTTTAAATACAATTTCCATCTGTTGTATGCGTTACCTATTATTTCGCTTCCCCATCATTTTATAGCTATCATTTAATTGCACAAAAGATGTGTTTAGAAATTTAAGGCATCTAGGAAAATTCTAAAGGTACTATCTTAAAGATCGTTGGTTTGTTTACAAAGAATAGTTTTAAAATATGTAGTTCTAAGGACTAACTAAATAAGAATATTTTTTAAAAGAAATAAAGATAAGGAATTTGCAGTTTATGCTAAAATGTTTGAACTATCCACTGATGAGGTTTGTCAAATTAAATCGCTCATTGGATTTGCTATAAATCATCAATTTAGATATAAAAAGTGTTATTTTATTGATGCATTTGCATATTGAGAAAATAACCTTCAACACAAACAGAACTAAATTATCCAATTCTAAACGACATTCACTGGCCGATATAATATAGAAAGTAGAATGTTTTAAAACTAGTCACTGAGAGCCAAACAATCGGAAAAATGAAATTCCTTCAATAGCATTATAAATTAGCAGTATTTTAATGTGTTTATATAGAAAAAATTGCCATCATTATTGCTTATCCTAATGTGGGAATACAATAAGATAAATAGATAAATACCATGGTCACTATGAAACAAATAGCTTACGTAAAACTGATTACAGGGTACACAATATTAGATGTAGTGACCAACTTAAATGTCATTATTATAAATATTCATAATGATTACTTGACTGTAAATACAATAATAAATGCTTTTCATAAACACTAATAAATATTTCAGTTTATTCAAATGATATATTCTTTTGATTAAAAATAGAATAAGTAACCGTCAAGAGTTTTATTTAAAAAAAATAATCTACAATCGATATCCTTCAATTAAATACTACTTAAAAATATATATGATTTTGTGATTTATAATTACTAGAATACTTAAAAATTATTTTGATTTTAACACAATGCAATAAGGATTATTGGATAAATGTATTGTTAAAATAAAGATAGTGTTGTATTTAAATACTGGTGAATTTACTTACGAATATTTATCGGGATTAATGAGATAAGTAGCTCAAACTAACATTTTAAAATTGAACATATATTTTTTTTTAAAAAAAATTACAAATCTTCTACAATTCCATGTTAGCATCATGTTGTGAAGAAACAAAACCCTGTTTATTATGAATCAGTAAATGATAGATTTTTTTTCTGAAAGTTCTGGTTTCATCTCATGGATAACAAGAACTTCTATTAATGTATAGGGCTGAATATGAGGAAATCCTCAAAGATTCGAATAGGTTCTATAAACCCATTTAAAGTTGACACGTTAATCGGTAAGATGATCAGAGCCTATTGAGTGTTTATGGATAGAACCTCTGATAACTTTCCTATATTTCTTGTAAGACCAAATGTGAACAGTTCCTAATACCTGTGCTGATACTGAGAGCTAGCCATGGCCTAGATAGCGTTCTCTACAATAACATAATATTATTCACATATCATATCATTTATTCTAAAGACAAATACATTGATTATTGTTTGTAATAGATTATTTTTTGACATTATCGCAATTAAACGAAATGCATATGCTGAACTTTATTGTCTACCTCCATTTAAAATCCAGTCAAAAACTTTGTTCATAAATAAACGTTTATCTTGTTTTGATAAATAAAATATCAAACCATGTCAGTCAATCTGAAAAAGTAGTATTTATTTGACTAATCTTTAAAAAATATTGACTTATGAAAATTCAGCTTGATTAACAGTAGAATTTAAGTATGTTTGGTCCTAATTATTATTCACAAACTAGATACTTTGCATCCCAGTGTTGATGTTCACACGAGGATGATAACGCATTATCTATTGAACTACTAAATCCGGCTAATCACAAAATCTTCAATTCAAACTGTTTTATACTTATAAATTATGTATTCATTACAGTTGAATAAAGTAGATGATTCAAAAGTTTAATCAAATGTACATATAATGAGTTTATACATTAATAATAAAAAATATGAAGACAATGAAAAAAAAAGAATAAAAAACAAAAATTGTGACAACTTTCTTCAAATAATATACTTAATTCTCGTTATATACAGTAAATATCACTAAATACAAATATACAATA